AAAAAAAGGACAAACAATTAAAGAAACTTACACACTATTATCAATATTATTAATATATGTATATAAAAACTATATGTATTAAGGCAATTTGCCTGCATTTGTGGGAGGTGCTGGTTTTCCACCCCTAGCCTACTTAAGGCACTCCCCTTGCCTGGCTCCTTACCGTTCGAGGTCAGCGTTGAATGAGGATCCACTTCCGGGTTCTCTCAGACGCCATCTTGGTTTCAGTATCCAGGAGGTTTCACCACGTTAAGCTGTGTCCAGGAATCCTGTTCAGGCCTTTCCGCCCGTCCAGCTTCTTCTGACTCCGTTCTCCGTCGTAGATCGCGTCCCAGGGACTCCTAAACCGTAAGTCAGACCTTCCTGTCACGCCAGGACTGGTTCCCACGGCGTACGGTACAGCACGGGTCCTCGCTTTACGGCTTTTCCCTGGTTATGACACGAATGTTTCAAGCCATTCGCGGGCTTTTCATTCGTACGGTCATTCGGCTGAACATGTTTTAAATCGTTCAATAGTCATTTCGCATATCCTATTCATGTTATTTAAACGAATGTTCATTCGGTTGTTTTGCCGTTCGGCAAATTTTACATACGCTCATACACGCTTTGGTTCGCATAAATCATACGGTTAAACTATTCTAACTTCTGTGTTCCCCTCACATTTGCTTTCGGCTGTTCTGTGTGTTCACGTATAATCCTTTCATGAATTATATTCACCATTTCATGTGTATATAACATTCGGTTAAAGTATTGCTTGCTTAAATAGATTATTGTTGATTACTTTTAACAAATTGTCAGTATTGTATTACGTCCACAAATCAAGTCCACTTCTCTGTGTATACTATTTGACTCCCACGCTTTCAGGGGTCTGCATTACTTATCCATTTATACGAATGGACTCAGCCATGTTACAAGCCTCATTTCTGGGTTATTAATACAACACATACAAGGATAGGTTCATTTAAGCAATAATTCTCGGGCTGATACGTCTTTGCTATACATACATATCATATAGATATACATCACTTTACATCATGTTAAATCATTTTGGGGTATCCCTGCCTTTGGTCTTTCTGCTACATATCATACATAACGCTGTGTTAATTAGACCATGACCTCATCCATGTCCCTTTCTATAAAACCAGTTACATTTCGGTACAGATCATTGAACTCCCACGCCAGGAGTTTTATAACTATCCATTTCATTTCAATTTACTCAGCCTACATTACAGGCCTCATTTCTCTGTCATGACGATGACACATAAGGCTCACATCCTTTTGCATGCATACTCGGGTTGAATCACACGTACTGATCCAACCAATCATACGTCCCCTACACAGTCACATACATATGTATATAACCTACGTTTCATGTTTTCCTTTACACACCATTAGCACGTAACACATAGATTGTTTGTACATAGGCCACGGCCTCCCTCAGATGTCTTATTCAAACATGCAAACATTTCTGAGCCACTCATAGCTATTCCCATGGTATCAACATAATTTTATACATTGCTGCTACAGACTATAAGTCTGGTTCTTTTTACACCCCACACTCATCGTACTACTCTCTTTTACCCATTTTTAGGCTGTCAAGCTTATATAATTGCTCCACACGGTTTATTCCTGTGATTTATCATACTACCAGGTACGTACACCTGCTCATATGGTATTCTACCATACATTTCATTTCATCCCCCTAGTTTAGAGTACTGGCAATAGGGTCACAGGATTCCCAATAGGTATTTACCCCATCTTGGCTGTCGCCATTAGTTAGTGGTCCCGCGAGGCCAACACCCCGCCTCAAACGTTTCGGAGGCAAACACCCATCGGGCCACACGTTAGCTAGCCGCCTCGCATGTTGCAAAGAGAGGGCCTCACCTGTCACTCCCTTCCCCTGTTTTCTGTCGTACAGTCACCGAGAGGCCTAAAACTCCTGCCACTACGTCAAGTGGCCTCAATAACCCCTCGCGCCAACGCATAGATAGAGCCTCTCAAGCCGCTTGGCAATTAGTAGGGCCTCACCTGTCACCAAACAAGCATAATACTTTCGCCATCCGGCCTAGCTAGCCTGCCAGTACAATTTGGTGGTTCTATATACTAATTATTGTTTTATTTATAGTATGTCTCAGGAAGGGGTAGAGGATTTCTCCCTGCCTAGCACCCCGGCTAGAGCTGTCACTCCCACACAAGGAGGAGAGCTAGCTAGTCCAGCATCAATTAGATCCTGGACAATCCCGCGCATAACCACGGAATTAAGGAGACGACAAATCCCCTACCCCGCTACAGCAAGGAAGGCAGAACTTTTCAAACTGCTACGCACATCAACCAATAACATGGAAGCCGGGGAAGGATCTAGCCAGTCCAACCCAGGGGACATACATGCCATGTTATCCTCACTCATGGCATCCATGGGCAAGGTCAACTCCAGGCTGGAGAAACTTGAGTCGGTCACCACGGCCCTCACTCTAGCAGGGCCACCCGCGGCTGCGGTACAAACACCAGCCTTGCCATTAGTCGCTCCAGCCAGCCCCCTGGATGACCAGGAAGTTAGCCCGGCCCACATGATACCTGAGCATATCAAAAGGGATATCCTGGAAGGTAAAGACGTCAACCTGGCTTCCCTGTTGATTGCCTCCCAGGACATTGTGGAACATAAGACGTATGCTTATGATGATGTTTCTGTTATTGTCAGATCTAGGGATGCCCGCCTGAACAGGAAACTGACTATCCCTGAATTTGTACTAGCGTTTGGTATTTACAGGGATGTCGTCTGTGCGGTTTATCCCAACAGAAGAGAGGAGTTTGATCTCTATATGCACAAGCTGGTAGACCTGGGCAACAAATATGGTGGTTCAGCATTCTATGACTACCATAGGTCTTTTTCTGCAAAAGTGGCTGGAGCCTTCTCCCAGTACGGTACACGGTCCAACTGGGGAAGGATTGATACCGTCTTATTCTGCAGACACTTTGCAGGTCTAAGAACACCAGCTTGTGCATACTGCTCCTCCACAGCCCATACTACTAATTTTTGTCCCAACACGGCAGACGGACATGCCTCCACACAAGGAACTAGTTCCTCTGGGGATCCAGGGAAACTATCCAAAGACAAATTGGGACGCCCAATCAAGTTTCTGGGCAAGTCCCAGATATGTAATAATTTCAATGTTGGGTCTTGTAATTACAGTGGATGTAGACTATTGCATGTCTGTTCAAAATGTTTTAGGGCACATGCTAAGACCATGTGTCCAAATAAAATGTATTCTAAGCCTTACCTTACGTCCATTAATATGCCAGTATTCACAGCATTGATGTCTCAGCACCCATCTAGACACCTGGTAGATTTTCTTATTTCTGGTTTAACAGAAGGCTTCCACACAGGTATCCTACACATACCAGCTGGCACTCTGGAATGCCCAAACCTACAATCCGCCCAACACAACCCCACAGTGGTTGACACCCTCATAAACCAAGAAGTGGAGGAGGGCTTTGTATTGGGGCCTTTTAGAACTCCCCCATTCACAGAATGGCGCACCAACCCTATTGGTATTGTCACAGGGAAATCTTCCCAAAAACAGAGACTCATCATTGACTTATCGGCTCCCCACTCATCGGCCAACCCCAGTCTTAATTCCCTCATACCCTCTGAGGAATTCTCTCTGCAATACACCACCATAGATCACGCCATTACAGCCATCATACAAGCAGGGGTGGGAGCCTGGCTCAGTAAGACCGACATTACTAACGCCTTCAAATTACTCCCTATCCACCCCACACTGTGGCACCTGCATGGCATCAAGTGGTCCGAGAACTACTATTTTTTCTCCCGGTTAACTTTTGGGTCCAAAAGTAGCCCAGCTATTTTCGACACATTTGCCGAAGCACTATGCTGGTTACTATTGAACATAGCCGGATGCCCTACAGTATTACATTACTTGGACGATTTCCTACTGGTCGAGGAGAATACTGCACCTCCCACTAGCCTCAAAGCTACCACTAAGCTGTTTGAGCAACTAGGTGTACCCATCTCCCCAAAGAAAACAGAAGGGCCAGACACGGTTATCACTTTTCTGGGTATCCAGTTAGACTCTGCCACAATGCAAGCAAGCCTACCTTACGAAAGATAGACAATATTCTCACTTACATAAACAACTACCTACAGCTCGGCACTTGCAACCGCAAAGAACTACAGTCCCTGCTGGGGTCACTAAATTTTGCAATGCGCATCATACCTCAAGGCCGCTCCTTTATTTCACGACTATTGCATCTTTTCCCACTTTTTCTACATGACACGCACAGGTTGTCCTTAGATGCCCAAGCTACGGCAGATCTAAACATGTGGAAGAGGTTTTTAACCACTTGGAATGGTAAAAGTATGTTCCTCCCTCAATTGACTGAATCATCTCCTACCATTTGGTCAGATGCGGCATCTACCACTGGTTTTGCAGCAATTTTTGGGAACGAATGGCTTTGGGGCAGCTGGCCTTCAGCAGTTCTGGATTTGGAAGGTTTTTCCACTACCTCAGCTCTTTTTGAGATCTACCCCATAGTGGCGGCTGCCGTAGCGTGGGGTCATTTATGGGCTAATACGCCAGTGCGTTGTTACTCAGACAACCAGGCGACCTGTCACATCATCAACAAGGTCGTTCCAAATCTCTTACGATTATGAGATTTCTGAGGAAACTCACTTGGTTGGCAGCTTGTCATAATTTCTTCCTATGTTGTTTCCATGTGCCAGGTGTATACAACACAGCTGCTGACAGTTTGTCTCGCTTTAAATTTCAGGAGTTTCATCAAGCACTCCCGTCAGCAGCACCCACAGCCACCATCACTCCAACATTTCAACAACTCATACTGGACTAGACGTCATCATGCAGCATAGCAGGACATTGTCTCAGTTGGCACTTTCACACAATACAAACAAAACATACAACAGGGCTTTCACACTATTCAAACGATTCCTTCTGGAACATAACATCATACAACCGTTTGTTATGACATCTTTTTTGGGGTTTGCTTCCTTTTGCCACCTTAAACTCAAATTGTCATATAACACCATCAAACTCTATCTCACTGGCATTCAACACCACATGCTCATCTTACACCCAAATAACAACAGTTTCATGGCCTCTCACCAAATTAAGACCATACTCAGAGGTATTCAAAAATCAGAACCCACACATTTGGCCCAGAGGCTACCCATAGATAACCATATCTTCAAAGCTTTATCTAACCTACTCGACCTGAAACCATTTGACACTAATACGAATTCTATCATCAAAACAGCAATATACATCGCTTTCTATGGATTTCTACGACCCAGAGAATTCACTACGACCTCCACGACCCAAACCACTCCATTCCTCCTCTATTCCCACTTGACAAAACATATGGATCATTACATCCTGTCTTTACCTCACTCCAAAACTAGCCAGCACATACCTGTAAACATTCCGTACTACCCCACGCACAACAGATGGTGTCCCGTAAAAGTTCTTGATGCCTACATACAGCACCATCACTTACTGCCCTCGCAACCGTTATTACAACTACAAGGTGCAGTACTCACCACTACAACCTTCATGACCTACGTCAGGTCCTTGCTCACACAACTGGGCCTCAACGCAAACAATTACTCAGGACACTCCTTTCGTATAGGAGCCGCGTCCACAGCCTCCAGTTTCAACGTCCCAACTCATGTTATCAAAACACTGGGGCGCTGGAAGTCATCCGCTTACTCACGGTACATACCGAACCCAGTACAAGAGTTAAGAGATGCTTTCATAAACATGTCTGGTTGATAAATGTATATGTATTGGTTGTCTGTTAATAAATTAGATTACTTAATTTTTGCCCTCTTCTTTCTCAGGCCTACCTCATCGTCGGTTTCGGCACACCACAACCGACTTGCTCCTTTTATCATCCTACGGTTATTCATGGTATTTCACACTGTACTATCTTAAGCACCTAACACAAGTATTAAGGCAATTTGCCTGCATTTGTGGGAGGTGCTGGTTTTCCACCCCTAGCCTACTTAAGGCACTCCCCTTGCCTGGCTCCTTACCGTTCGAGGTCAGCGTTGAATGACCCTCCCACCACACCACTTTTAACATTTATTTTCCTTTCTATTTCTTTTCCTGGGTGGGCCCTCTTCTTTCTCAGGCCTACCTCATCGTCGGTTTCGGCACACCACAACCGACTTGCTCCTTTTATCATCCTACGCTTATTCATGGTATTTCACACTGTACTATCTTAAGCACCTAACACAAAATATATATATATATATATATATATATATATTTGTTAATAAAGATAATGTTATTGAGATTATTACAAAATATATATTTTTTTTTCTCGAGAGGTTTGAAAAATGTTGTACTGTAAATATATGTACATATTATTAAGTTTGTTTTAAAGGGAAAAAGAAGTGGAGGTTTATTTTTTTCTTGTTTTTTGATAAAGGAAAATGT